TTTCATGTGTATTTCGTGATGCTGTTTCGCATGTTTTGAATGCGCTGTGCAAACGGTACGCTGTCAGTCGGTAAAACTCGAAGCTACAGGTGTTCATTGTTTATCATCAGTGATGTACGAAATACCATTTGCCATTAAAGGCTTTCGAGCAGCATTTGTCCAAGCTGACCTAACGTTTGCTGTTTCATCACTGTAGTTTCGGACAGGGGTTATCCCGTCGGTAGGTGATCGAGGCAACCAGTCGAAAGAGCGGCAGTTCAAGCGCGGTCATGCTCTTCGCATTCGTTTATTTTGAGGTAGATAAACCAGTTCCTCTTTGTGGCAAAGGAAACAGTACGTTATAAGCTATACTTGCTGTACAACAATAGAAATTGCATTGAAGTTAATTCATTGCCGACTGCATACGAAACGTACGTCCACGCGACAGCGTGAGCTTCATAAAAAGATGAAGTGCTACAGATATCCGCATCATTCAACTGTATGACAGATCGACATCCGAATCCGAACTGTTGCAGGTTTCAACTTTCCTTTCCTGTGCAGTTCGAGGTCGAAATCGCTTACTGCGGTGCATATCTGCTTATTTTGTAATGTTTCCCGAATTCGTATGACAGCTATAGGGCAATTTCAGCTTCCTGTTATCACCATCATGTTTGATTTAGTGCTCGGTCAGAGTTCAAGGCGAAATGTGCCTGACCACAAACGGCACTAAGCGGATATTGTGGCGAAAAAAACGCTGTATACGTAATGGTGCATACGCTGAGTTGTACCAACTGCAGATGAACGAATGGAACATTTGTAACCCCTGGAATGTCGATCTTTCGTACGCTTGCATGATGGGGTCATTCTGGCGCTCTTCTTTTCATGGAGTTGATCGTGCGGCGCATCTACGTTTCTATGCAATCAGCCATGAGTGCCGTGTACTTCAAACGCAGAGTCTACAGCCATTGGCTAGCACAATATATTGTCTCCTGTTTCCTTTCCACAGGGTGGTACTCATTATCAACCTCGGAAAGAACAAGGGCGAGTGTCATCGACCGGGGTTCGAACCCGGGCCCTCTCAGTTCTTAGCCCAAAGCACTACCGACTGAGTACCCGCGGTCTGAAACAACATAACGTATATTTTTTGCCCAAGGTAATTCGTGGTAAAGAAAAAGATTGCCCTCTAGCCGCATCGAACCCGACTCAGATATAAAAGGAATCGTACGAGAATGGATACCGGTTAAGTATGTTAGCGGTTGGTTGTCTGAAGCGAACGGCTTTTAGTGGTGGAAATTTCGCTTGTCCCTTGATTTATCAACTTGCGATGTGTGAATTTTTGCCGTAATGAGTGATGTCAGTTTCTGCATACTTTTCGGTTCGCTGCAGCAAAGAACCAGCCTTCGTCCAAGTTTCTGCTTTGTAAGTAGTGGAGGAATGCAGTAGTACGCAGCACAGAAAATACTGCGCAGACTCATTTCCCTCAGCTTACAAACCTCACCACTTTAATCGGATCATGGTAACCGCTGCAATTTCATCGTCTCATGTTACGGAAAATCGTATAATGCTGTGATGGACTACATAAGCACATCGTTAATATTTTGGAGCTGATGTACGCAGAAACCATGTATGCTGTCAAAGTTGAAGGACAGCTGCGTGAGTGGTTCCCTGTCAAGTAGGCGGAGCTCGCCAGCTAGCCTTTGCTATTCAACATTTGGATAGATGTTATTGGTAGGTGACGGGCAGCGGCGTTTTAACTTGCCGGAACAAGCTCGCGTTCTATTTTCAAGTGTGTCATTAGCTGGATTCTGCTGTGTGCGCCATCGATGTCTAATTATTATAGCGTCTACACTTGCCTGAGAATATATTTCCTGGATGATACTTGGGCATTTGGAAACAGTCGGTCTTGCGTCACATAAGCTCGTTCAGAGGTGCGTGCTGCTTGTTGACGTAACTGTAGTTGCTTCAGCGTTTTATTCACTTGTTTCACCTTGTGCTGCATACGCAGTCACTAGCAGGTTTTAGGTTTCTGATGCTGCTGCGATTTTTTCTTCATTACCAGCCACCGTATTTTTTGCATCACGTTGCCTACGTGGTCAGTTCTGATACGGTTTATCGTAGATACCAGACCCTTCTTGCCAGTTGGTGGTCGACTACGACGCCCTTCTACGCAACCAGATGTTCAGCGACTTTCTGATCGAGGTTGCTGGAAAATCGATCAGTGTTCACCGCAACATCCTGGCTGCTCGGAGTTCCGTCTTTGCCGCGATGTTGACTCATGATACGGAAGAATCGCAAAAGGTATGTGAACCGGAGTCATCGCATTTGGGGGGGTAGGTGATCGACGTATGAATTCTGTACGCTGTTGTTTTTAAGATCGCGTTCTAACGTTACTAACGTGTGTTTCTAATTGTTACGCCCTTAACGCAGTAATTCTGACATTTTCACCTTCCTTCGTACGGAAACCTTCGACGATTACCATGTTTCGTAGGACATCTCATGTCCCAGAAATCGTTCCTTCAGTGGTTGAAAAATGTCATCTTTCCTTCAGATCGATGACGACGTGAATGTGCTAGCTTTGAAAAGGTTAATGAAAATGAAGCTTTGCTACTTGAACAAGATCACGAAAGTATCTTGTTTTTCAGCACAGATCCATTAAAGTAGCTATAGGTATAAAAGTTAAGCAATAAATATAATAATAACAGTGAGTAAAAGAGCTAAACGAATGAACCTCTAGACAAAACTGTAAACAAGACAGTATGGTCGATTTGCCGTTCAACGGTAGTAATGCAAAGGTACGCAAAGTTGCGTTCGAGTTCATCTCTTTGTCATCAGCTCGAACTCACACCTGAATTGCCAAATAGGCTATCCAAAGATATGCTGCTCTGCCAATGACTCGGTATGGTAACAAACAGTGCGGTCTTTACGTAAAGAAAATTGAACGTTCAGATCGAAAGTTGATTCAGGGTTAATTAATGTAATACTTGGCGCTAATTCTCGATATGCGTTAAAGATGTTTCGTGTTGGTGATAACTCTTTCGCTGCATTTGACGCGTCAACTGCGATCGAACGATGACACGTGATACTCTGTCGAATTCACGGGCGTTGGCCACAGAAATGGCATTATGGATGTTGTTACCTTGTTTCCTTTTTCCTATATTACCCGCTAAATTATCCATCTGGTTCTTATTTCTTTTCGTCTCGTCAGAGCTGTCATCTGCCGTCCATCGGGGGG